CACTCTTAACATTACAAAAGGAAGATAGTACCCTATTATTAAGGGAGATAGCACCCTATTATTCAAACTTCACGATTTGTCTCAACTATATATAGGATGTGAAAACGGCTGGAAAGTTGCAACTATCTGTTTACTAAGAGATTAAGTAAAACTGATAAAATCGCTAACGACGTGATTTCAATCTCACTGACAAATATTATAAGCTTTATTTTGTCAACTGATTTTAAATGTGCTAAAAGTTGATACGCAAAAAATCTCTTGATAAAAAAAATTTCAAAACTTTAAAAAACAAGGCATATAATAAATCAGCAAATGCGGATAGTTTTTTTTTTTTTTTTTTGAATAGAATTCAAAATCTAAGGAAAAAACTGACAAAAAATCGAGAAAAAAATGTGGAGAAAGCAAAAGAACTAAAACGTATTAATGTTGAAAATTTAAATTTCCAATATATTTGAGTAGTATACTAAACAGTAGAAGCAGTTCCAATTTAAAAACAGCCATGCCTAAATTTAAAAACAGAAATACGGTAAAGTTGGGTAGCTTCGAACGCCGGGTAACTCTGGACACTTGGTGTACAGGTTAAACTAAAGAAGCTATGTGATTATATAGCATATAAAAATATAGCATATGCAATATATCTATCACAATATGACGAAGAGATTAGCAAGTTATTTCCCAGTACCAGAAGTTCGATGCGTCATATTTGATTCAGATATTATTATACCTAATTTTAATGTAAACTAGTAACTTTTTATTAATTAAAGAAACATTCTTATTTAAAATTTTATTAAAAAAAAATTGATTTAATACTTTAATTCACTGGTTTTAAAGCTATTATTTGTGAATGAGGTATGATCGGGTGGTATCGGTCGCAAACACATGTTTGGAGGGTGGTTCCGGACAAATTAATCCGTTTACATATTAAAAGTAAGCAACTTTTTTATATAAATAATAATACATTTAATTTAATACACAAACCCATAATAGTAATTCATTTAATTCCAATAAGAAGACCTTAGATTTGAAAAAAGTGTTTTAAAGTGTTTATTTTCATTAGTAAAAAGCTAATGTTTATATTTCTAAATGGTGATATTTTCATTCCCATTTCTGGTATATCAGAGGCAATTTTAAAAGGCGATTTTTTTTTAATGTGTTAAGAATTCTCAACACATCATGTGTTGAGAAACACATGTTCTAGAACAGTCCAATGCTGACTAGTTATATATAATATATTTGTGTCACACGGGTAGAAAAGAGGTAAAATCATGGTTAAAATATGTGTTTAACCGGGGCTACCCTCCAATTTTGAAATATGTCTTTTATAAAATATTTTTTCTTTTATGTTTTGTATATTAATAAGGGACACAATAATTATTTTTTTGTCTATATTTTCCTTAAAAGTCCAGTGCTACCCGGCTTTCACCTACCTAAATTTGCATCTGCTTGTGGCAATAATAGAAGATTGGTGAGAAAAAATTAAACCTTGAAAAAAAAAAAAAGATGAGCAAAAGTTAGCGAACAAATTTGAATTTTTTTAGCGCTACTTAGAAATGTTTTAGTTCTAATGTTAAACTAATATTTACGCTCACATTCAAACAATCAGCAATCAATCAAAAATGAAAATGTATTTTTTTTTTAATTAAAAAATAAAGCTAATATTATTATTATAAGCCACAACACTAACACCATACAAAGTATAATAAAAAGAAAAAAAAAAGGTTCTCGATGATAAGACCAAACTCAGTCTTCTACGAGTTCCCTACAACAGTCAAAACCCTTATCAAGTCATAGCATATTTCCTATGTTTATCTTAACGGTATTTTGTAAAATATTATTTTTTTTATAGCATATTTTGTTTATGTTATTGCAAGGTAAAAACATTTGTAATTAATATGTAGTTGTGAAAATTTAAGGAAAAAATAAATAAATAAATAAATTTTTTTTTTTAGATTATGACAACATTGATTCTTCAGAATTTTTTTGTTTTCAATGGAGTAAACCGCTACATCAGTAGATAGTCCAATATATTGGACTATCTACTGATGTAGTCTAACAACTATAGTTGCTAAAAGTCGTGGTAAGAGTTTCCTATTACCATACATTTATGAATGTCCAAACATTAAAAGTATTTCAAATAGAGAAAATTTAAAATATTTAGATATATCCGGATAAAAAAAAAAAAAATTAAGATACTATATTGAATTCAGTGGTGTTTTATAGGTCCATTATTTATGTATTTAAATTAATAGTAAAATTAATACTTACTTAAGTTGAATAAATTAAAATAATTTTATAAAGTAATAATAAAAAAATTATATTGATTAAATTTATTTTTAAATATTTAAAAATAAATTTAATCGATATGTTATCGACGCGTATTCAAACAAATCAACTTTTGTGTTAACTGGGTAAAAGCCATATATAAAATTAGTTGTATATACGGTATAAAAATGTTACTCTTTATTGTGCTTGCCATTTCGTTACTTACAATTCTCTACCTCTACAAACCTCTTATTGTCCCTAAATAAACTTCTGTTGAAACATCTAACCTGGTATTTCCAATCATGCTCTTTTTCTTTTAAAAAAAGTCCCAAAAAACGTATTGTATATGTAGTTAGACCTGTTCTTTTTAACAACTTAACCCTTTGTTCTATTGTTTTAAGGTTGCATGTCCTTTTTATTTCTACTAATACTATTTTGGTCGCTATTTAAACAAGATATCTCTGGTTCAATCATTTAAAACACAACATCATGTGACACGTTCAGCAAAATTGAATTTTTTTACTGCATATATCCCTTTATGCTCTGAAAACTTTAACTCGTCTAGTTTTTTTTTCTCGCATATCAATGCTTTAAAATTCTCTCCCATCTTCGTGTTTTCCCGACTCAAACAGTTCACAGTTTTTATACTACATAGATTATTTATCTTGCAATTTTGTAAAAACTTATTAATTTTTTTGTTTATCTTATCCTTATTAAATGCTTATTTAAATTTCTTACGACAAGATCCTTTCAATATTCTTTCAGATGCCTTGTTTATATTTGTTAAAATGCATTATCGTATAAGAAAGTTGAACAATGGTGTATAGATAAAAATTAACATTAGGGCACATTTATTTGCGTGCGTAAATTTTTATTTATCTATTTTTTTTTTTGCTCCCAGAAGTCCGGACGGTCTTATTTCAGAGCACCGCGGAAAACATTTAGCAAGGAAGTTCACGCGGCCTTCCTTACCAATGATATTTATTGGACTAGAGACGGCGACAAACCTCGGACCTCTAGATTCTGAGCCAGAACTCTAACCAATGCGCCACGGTTTCTTTTTACAATTGGAATTAGAAGTAGATTTAAAGAACTTATAGCAATATGCATACTATTATCATTCTCTTAAAGAGCAACTTTAACAAAAAATATTTTTTTAGATTTTAAGCTACTTGAATATTTAAATATATATATTTTTATAATTTTAACTTTTTTTTTTTATTTATTTGTAAAATAAACAAAACGCTATACTCAAGTTAAAAATAATTGATGACTGCTATTTCTCATCGAAAATATATTAAATATGAGTTTTAGAGATTCAATATTTTACTTGAAATACTCACAATTTATTTTCATAAAACCTCCGTGCGTGACCGTTTAAACGTGATTGCATTTAAAGGATTGCTGTGACTCATAGTGCGATCCAGTAACTTTCTGGAAATCTTTACTAATATTTAAAATATTATTTAAAAAAATGTATACAGCAGAATCTTATATTTTCCGTAGAAATAAAGTTTATTTACCTAGTAACTAAAACTTGAGTTTTTCTGTTCCTTGCTTCAAACCTAATTTATTGTTCGATAACATTACTAATAAATACCATTTTTTGTTTGCAAAATATTTATATAGGATAGAAATGAGAGTAAATAGGAGATTTGTTTTTATATAAGTTTTATTATTATGAAAATAATATGCAAAAGATATACAAGTTTCCATGCGTGATTTTTTGGAAATGCTCATTAAGAAAAAAAAATTGTTAGAGGTCTAGGTAAGTGTAGTAATATACATTGAAATGATTATCATTTTAAATAGGAATAAAAATTTAAATAAAATAAAATTTTCATATAATTGAAGCAATATTTTACTTAAAAAATCTTTTTATTTAATGAAAATTATGCGGCTTATCGATTAGCCCTAATTGGTAATATAATCCGGATATCCGTATTGGAAACTACTGCTGCGATAAACCTTTTTCTATGTTAATAGATGTAAAGTTAAAATCCTTCAATAAATAGCTGGTTTTGGTTTGGAAAGTGATTGTTGCAAAATAATATTTAGGCGGCACACAACTGAAAACAAGTTTTTTTTTTTTAAACTATCAAAAAAAAAAAAAAAAAAAAAAGCATTAAAATTAAAAAAAAAAAAAAATCCATAACGGCTGAAAACTTCACTTTCGTGTTATTAGCAAAACTTCAAAACCTAGCTACTTGATTTTGTCTATAAAACTTTTAAATTTTGAGCGTAGTTTCCTAAGCAAACTTCACTCTACTTAACAGTGGGAATTTTTATGTTTCAAATTCTTACAAAAAATATGGCACTTTCGTGTACTCTTTTTACCCGAATTAATATATTAAAATAATTGCAATAGCTTGAAACTTAAAATTGAGAAAATCACGAAGCTTTATTTTTTACATTATATTATATCTTTTTTAAAAATTAAGATATTTCTTAGCAACAAGAGACTTGCTTTACGTAAAAACAAGGCTAAAATCGTTAAAAGGTTTCAGAATAATTTTTCTTTAAAAAAACTATATAAATAGTAATAAACAATAGTAGATAAAATTTTTTATATAACAAGAAAAAATATGCGGATTTTCTATAAATGAATATAAAAGCCTTTCTAAATTTTCTTTTCACTGATTCGAAAGAAATCAGTAACTAGTTAAAAATAAAACTTTCACAAAGTCTAATGTCATTAGTTTTCAAGACTTGAATTTAATGGCTCAAATTTTTTTCGC